AGCACTCTTATTCTTTATTATTAACCAGCAGAAAATCAGTTATAGTTTTGAGATATTTGATAAAGAAAAGTAAATAACATTACTTCTCAATACAAATGTTGGTGTTACGGATCAGCGTCATTATCTACATTCAGCCTCACATATCTTGTCAGTGAAAGTCAGACACAGGAAAAATCAAACAGAACAACTGGAACACCAGTCGTTTTTAAAGGACACTGATTGGCTGAGGGCTGCCGTTGCACATGTTGGATTTTGTTAGTTGGAGTTTGATATTTTCTGCCTGCTCTATTTTAATAAAATGTGGAACTTTGCCTCCTGCTCACACCTACATTCATGCCCTCCAATTGAAGACATTCATCATATGCAAATGAATGCATTGTGCTTTATATTTATAGCTTCTGCATTATGAAAACGCTAGAGGGTTTTGGGATTTGTGTGTTTGTTTGGAGTGGCTGTAACAGTAATTTATGCACCGATCAGTTAGCCTAATACATTTATTTATTGATTATTAAAAAATTCCTATGCAATCGTGATTGTTTATAAATAACTCTAAATACTTAACTGAGTGGAGCTTCCCACTGATGTATTAGCATCATCAATTGTCTTTAAGATGTCACATTTTTAGTGGGTTTTTAAACCAACACGGCAAAAAAGTGCTGTAAAATTCTCATTTTGTGTGTCAGACAAGCTGAATGGGGCTGATAAAGCTCTCATCGGAGAAAAGGGACACCCAGGCTGCTTTCCTTAAATGTTTTATCAGCAGTCATAAAGAACAAAAGGTTTACACGTTCATCAATTTGTACAAACACAAATAAAATAAATGAACAGCACAGCTCTACATATTTGGCTTTTAAATGACCCTTATGGGATTCACTACAATCATAGGGTCAGTGCTTGTTGTCAGGGGACTTAAAAGATGGATTGAAGTGGAAGATCTCCAAATTGCTTCTATTAGGTCTGATATTGATGGGAAAAAGTTTAAACGTGCTGTGATAAAAATAATTCGGCACAGACGGTGGAAGAAGATGTCGTCGCAACCTGCATCAATATTCCACCGCAACGGATTTTCATGGAATCTTTCTGCTGCTTCTATATTTGGCTACATCTCCGAACTACACACACACACACACACACACACACACACACACACACACACACACACACACACACACACACACACACACACACACACACACACACACACACACACACACACACACACACACACACACACACACACACACACACACACACACACCACTTACAACCATGCGACCCTGGTGTGTACCCCTCAGGTCACTTAGCCAGAGTTAGGGCATGCCATTTTTCTTTCTGCCAGTTCAGCTGGGCCGACACGATGTCTGAAAGGATTACGGTGCGCTAGGGCTCATATGAAGGACAGAAGAAGACACGCATCTGACACTTTACCCTGGGCGCTTACAAATTTCAATCACCTATATACGAGACACTGAAATGTGATTCCTGTTACTGCCTAAAGGCCAGACTTTGCTGCCAAGTTGCTACAGAAAGAAAATAAAATAATTTTTTCTCTCAACAAGCTAACCGGGAGCTTGAAACCACAAAACACTGATGACTCGGTGCAACACTCGTCCTTTTTCACCACGTGTCATTCACATGATTGTAAGGTGAGGAAATATGGGTTTTTCTGTCACAAAGGTGGTGCTGGACTCAGCCGTGTCAAAGCTGGGTCATTGAGAACTTTCACCCACAGATTAAGACCTGAACGCCAGAGAGTCTGGGAGGAAACCATAACATCTACCACCTGCAGCTTCGTGCCAGAAGATGTTGTTCCCACAGAAGATGTTGTTCCCATAAAAGTAGTCATAACATAACAAGTCTTAAAACTTTGTTTCTTGATTTTAATGTTAAAGTAACCATTATCAATTTGCTCATTATAAATGTGTTTTAATCAAATGAATGACTATTATGCTTTGGGGTAATTCTAAGAGATTTAATGAATCCATAATTAGATAGTGTTGAGAGTGTTTGTTGCTGACCTTCACACACACTCAAGCACACACACCCACACACAGATTCTCACAGTTAAACTCCAAAACACATTTGCTGAAGCACACGTTTGCTTTGAGAAGAGAAAGGCTTTTGGTAAGTTTCAGTCTTATGATTTCAGTTCGTGTTGGACAACGAAAGAGAGTGGACCTGAAAACCAAAGGGGGGGCAGAGCCGGTTGACTCGTTCTTCCCCCCTTTCACGCTGTTTCTGCCAAGCCAGGCAGAATAGCTGAATCGCAACTTCTAACGCAGACTCATTATCGAGTCTTTTGATTTCTGAGTGAATTAACTTAATAAAGCGCATCGACAAAACGCTCTACCATCCACGTGTACCGAGGGCAACTCTGGACCGGTTCCGTTCGACACCTACGTCTCCCCTGTCAGCCGCCGGTGTCATCTGGATGAACCACAACATCCTCCACGGCCCGGATCCGAAAGAGGGTCCACAAGAGTTCGGTGAGACAGAGCACGGTGTTTAGCGTTTGATGCAGTTCTCTGATAAGACCTAAGTTTATCCAAACCATCACTTCACTCAGACACCTGTTTCTTCCTGAAGCAAAATCAGACTCACACACGCATTCATCTCACCTCATGTTCAATTCTCACGACACTTTGCACCCACACGCATCCATAATCACATCATATCACTCTCAATCTTCATTCACCGACAGAAGGTCTATTTGAGCAAGAACAGCATATCAACTGTTAAAGATTGTCCCACAAAGTTGCCAATGTTGATTGTTATTTCCTGTTTGTCAATTTTCAAAATCATTAGTTTAATTTGAAGAATTAAAACTTTTAATTGTCAAACTGGTTTCCTCATTGAACTGAAACACAGACACATAGATATTATCGTCAGTTTATCGATGAAAACAACCTTTGAGTCTTCTGAACCATATAAAATTTGGTTATTGATTTATTAAAAATTAATATTCCGAATTAATACGTAGCATGGTTCCTCTTTCATAAAAGAGCATAAAACCACAACGCTACATTAAGAACACTGAAACAATCACTGATGCATTTGGTAATGAGTAGTGCTGCAAATATGTGATTTCTGAGAGCGCTGTCAAGTCCAAGTTTACTGATTGTGACTGCGGCAAAATGTGTGCTTGTTGAGAAAATCGCATGTTGGGGATTTTTGGGGCCACTCAGTTTCCTGATTTGTTTTATCAGACACATGCATGCATCCGTGGCAACATGAAAGGCCTCTGCTGAAGAAACCTGACAGATCCCGGCTTGAGCTCTCCATCCAACGTTTACTTTGTTCTAGGATCCCAGCTGTAACGCCAGACTACCTCAGAGCACGTTTCCATCACGTCAGCCTCCGTTTCTGCTGTCCGGTCCTCAGAATGAATTATGAGCCCAGGTGGGAATGTTTTTACATGCTCCATTAAGATTTGCTGGCAGTTTAAGCAAAGACAGCATTTGTATGCATTCTGTTTTAAAGAAGACCTGTGGGTTCCTGGACACCACGAGCAACACGAGAAGATGTAGACAGTCAGACTGGATCGTCACACCAGGGATTGGTGCCTGTTTCATGAGAACGGGGCTTTGAGAAGATAAAAGCAGCAGATTTATTGCAAAACATTGAATGTTGAGCAGAAAAGCATCAAGGTCTTCCTGTGATCTTTGCTGAGTTTTTACATGTGATCACATACTGGAAAACACTGGGGAATTTGCTAGTTTCGTCGTAAAATATCCGCATATAGTTCAACAGACATTCAAAACTGAAAAAGGTTGTTTTTTTAATACCAAAACAATTAATTTAGAGTTTGCTAGGGTGCTCTTCTGCTTTCACACTGACTAAAAGCCCAAAAATGTCCTTCTTCATGGCGCGTGGCAACATGTGCACTAGACAAGACAGCTGAGGAGCAACACGCTGGATTCAATGTAAATGAAAGAAAATCTGTCGTTACTTATACGCTAACTGGTTTCACAGAACACTGAGTTTTAAACATGACATCATTCTTAATAAACTGAATTTTATTGAAGAGAAAAAGCTAATTTGAGTGTCAGAGACAATCAGCATCAAACTCATTTAGATGTCCGAACCACTGAAATGTCTCAAACTAAGCTTTCTGTGAATCGGGAATTCATGTCTGGGTGTTTTTTTATTTCAATTGGAATGAACAAATATTTCTTTTCTGGGGTTAGGAGTTTGCTCTGTGACCATAGAGTTGCTGGTTCAAACCCAGGCTCCGTCTATGTCAGTCATGTCCTTGGGCAAGACACTTCACCCTCCTGACCTGTAGGTGGCGCCAACAACAGCCTCAGCTATGTTTTTTAATTTTTTTGGAAAATAGTACATTTACAAAATTACAATGTATTGCAAAAGAGTACAGAAAGTGAACAAAAGCATTACAAAGCAGATAAAAGTGGTGCAGGAGGATTAATAATAGTCTTTTCAAGGGCAGATGTCGTTCTAATGGCTTTAGAATTGGAACTAGATTTAAGGCATTTTATATAAATATCTAAAGTAGCTAAGAATGCTTTAAAATTGGGTTTATGATGCTGAAATTTAGAGGTGTGGATATGATAATTCCCACATATCACAAGCAAATTAGTGATGTATAGTTTTTCTCAGCTATGTCACTGGCCCTCAGAGTAGCTGTAGCGCATCACTACCAGTGTGCAGGGCTGCCAGCTCTCACGCATGAGCTCCAATGTCTGTGTGTGTGTGTGTGTGTGTGTGTGTGTGTGTGTGTGTGTGTGTGTGTGTGTGTGTGTGTGTAAAGCACTTTGGAGTCCTCTGACTCATTTATCATATCTTTATCCTAACAAAGCTTGAGAATTTGGCTTGTCATGTATCATAAATTATGATTAATACACACTGACACACCTACCGGTATTTTGAAGTAAACATGACATTTAAATTACGAAGATACAGTAAACTAATCAAACAAACAAAAACAAATGTCACAAAGAGCTGGACCTCATTTTTTAAAAGATAAAGTTTGCGACGCTCACCAAAGTCTCCAGGCACAAAGATGTCGTAGACGCAGCTCTGAGCGCTGGTGTAGTTATGTGGGTAGTTTGGGGACAAAACCGTTCCCTCTGAACCAGTGAAGTGACCTCCACAGGGAGCTGCACAGACAGGAGAGGAAGCAACAGAGGAGCAGGGTTAACAATGTCAAACAGCTGGGTTGTCATAACAAGGGAAATAAGGCAATAAAAGATAATCAGCAAATCCATTTTAACCAGCACAAATGCACGGTAAGCAAGCCACGTCCCGGCACTGGGATTGAGATCTGAGGCACTTTAAGGACATTTTTAAAAGGAGATTAAAGTTGTAGAGATGCAGAAAATAAAACCTGGAATGTGTTTACATACAGGGTTAAAACCAAGGCAGAACACAGCATTTTTTGTTTTTGAGCTTTATTAAACTCATTAAACAAAGGAAGATGTTTTAGGTTTGGCTGAGAAAGAAGACAGAATACAACGGAAGTTCCTGGTTTCAACAGTACGTGGCCACAACTTCCAACTGTGAGTGGAGAAAATGGTCATCATTACCACCGTTCTCTAGGGTAGACAGGTTCTCCAGCTGGACTAAAAATCTCCATTTCAACAAAATCAGGACAGAAACATCTAAGCTCTTCAGATATGGAGGCAGACATTAAAAGTTAAAGTCTGAGCTAATGATAGTTCATGAAAGTGTTGCAGAGAAGCTCCTTTTACTCTATAATTATCTCTACGGTTCCTTTAAACACACATTATCACAGTTCTATAAAAGTTCTATAGAGACGTCAGTGCTATTTAAAGAGCAAGTCACCCCCACATCAACTTTTTAAACTACATAAATGAGTGTCTAATTGTGCTGTAGACACGTGAAGTCAATAATCTGGCACTTTAGTGCACCTTAGTTAAAATTTAAACATAATACCTAAAACTGTCAGTTGTCAGGTAAAAACTCTGCAATACATTTGAATTTGAATCTGCCTCCGCTATTGGCTACGAGGTACACAATGACATTAGCTGGTACATTATGATGTCACAGCACTGTTGTGAGCCTGTTTGTGTGTATTTGTTAGTGGCTCCGCCCTCTCAGTCTGCCAGCAAACAGCATTTGTTGCAGTTTTTCAAACGTGAAGTGGAAATGGAGGAAGTTTCTTGTAGGGGGTGACTTGCTCTTTAAGAGGCCAGACCAGTCAACCTTCATCAACTCGCTTCCAAAAAAGTTCCTGAGAAATTTCACACTATGTTTGAGTTTCCATTTAGGGATTTTTCAACTCCACCTCACAGCTCAAGTTGAAAACCATGTTGATTGCCTTGTAGGCACCATTTTTGTATATGATCTGACTTCACCATGGTTGGTAGTTCTGGGCATATTAGAAGCAATGATGGAAAATTCACAGGTAACATCAGGATCTACATGTTCCTATGCACCCTACAAACAGAGCTTTGTTGGTTTGATTTGAGGACTGAATGCCATTGTTTCAATGAAGCCCAGAATAAAAAGGGAGTTTAAACCAAACATCAAGAATATTCCTAGATCAATTTCAGCGCACACAACACGTTGTTCTTGAGCCGCCACCAGCTTTGTAGTTTTTGTCTATTAAAGCACTGTCGTAATAAAGGTTCTACCATAATGGCACTAAGCCCATCCAACGTCTCTCTGCAAACGTAGAGCTGTGATTGGCTTAGTCTACACTCAGCCCAGACAATGGTGGACCTGCTGAAGCTACAATGGAGACAGAAGACCAACTTGCAGAGTAAAATAATTCAGATTGCTCTGTTTTGTCTACATTTCTACCGTAAAACAGATAAATAATCCGTTATTAGACTCAGAACAACGTTGGATATTTGGGCCACTAAACTATGTGTTCTTTAAAAGTTTGTGTGAGAACTTTATTTTATTTTTATTGAAGTGTTTATTTTCTCATTTTGACACATCTGATGTGTAATGGTTCTGTTTGTTTTCCACCACAAGTGTTTTCAATGGCATCATAACTGATATCATTTTGAAATAATCACCAGGGGCCTCACTTATAAAGCGTGCTTACGCACAAAATGGGGTCAGAAAACTGCGTAAGCAACTTTCCACGCACAGTTTGGGATTTATGAAAGAAGACTTAGCGGAAAAATGTGCGCAACTTGAAGTTGACTAAGGACCTGGCTTACGCACATTTTGGACATGGAGAGCACCTGCAGTGCTGCTGCTGAGGCATTATCACTTGTACCGCTTCGTTTTCACACAGAACAAGACCCCCACACATGCGTGCGTACACACACATGCGCACACACTCACACACACACACACACACACACACACACACACACACACACACACACACACACACACACACACACACACACACATAGCCTCCAGCACAGAATACGGAATAGAGAATATCAGCAGGGGGACAGATTGAGACGGAATGTCATGCCTCTGTGACCGTGTGTGTGTGTCCTGTCACTGTGACCCAATTGATCATGCGCCCTGGCTACTTGGACAAGGGAGATCTCCGTTTGGGTGACTGGTTAGTGCACATGACTTTCACCTGGGAGTCTGGGGATCAAATCCCGATTAGACCATTTTTTTTATATCCGCTACATTTCTCTCTGAAGATCTCACAACATTGACGGCTTCAGCAATGCTGTGCCACTCCGTGGATTTTCTCTTTTTATTTTTCAAAAGCATTTCCTTTAATTTCTCCACTTCACCCACAAGTAGCAAAATATCTGCTTCTGTGAAATTGCGCTTCCTTTATCTGCCTTGATCTACGGTCGCCATGTCATTGGCGGAGCGCTGCAACAAGCCGGCTTATGTAAATGCATGAGATCCACAAGGCACTTTGCATTGACTATTTATGGCAGTAAGAGGGCGTGGTGAGGGCGGGATGTGACTAAAAAGCAGCTGAGAAACATTCTCGTTAGTCTCCGATTTATGAAGCGGAGATGGCGTGCAGCTGTGCGTACTTCATGTTTGATAGATCACAAACCTGCTTGGCGTGAGTACTTTTTTTTTTGCTGAGCTTAAGTATGGTTTTGGTAAGAATTCTACACAATGTTTGATAAATGAGACTCCAGTTATTTAATACTCTAATTGATATGTTCAAAAACTTAAAAGAGAATTTTCAGTCATATAAAATGTGCAGAAGTGCTGTTTGCATTACGAGAACCGATCTAAAGATTGTGCTACGAGGAGAACAATCCTCACGGTGACCCCAAACAATAATTATACCCTCACATGGTTTTGTCTTCTAAACTTTTACCTTCTCCTGGCATGTTTTCAGTTGGCAAATTGGTTTATTAATACAAGCTGAGGTCCATCCTGCCTTTGTACTGCATCTCAGAATCTTATCTTAAGCTCTTAATGATCTATCTAATTTGCCAAGAGGCCCCCTTATGCGGTTATCTCAGACCTCACGGGCTGAGCCATCAGGTAAGGGACCCTCAACAGTAAACAAAGACGAGCTCATTTGTCAAAGGAAAGCCGTCACCAGCTGCTCTGGACCTCCTCGACCTCAACACGATGCACACTCTTCTACTGCTTCACCAAACAGTGCGGCAGAAGCATTCAATTGTGTTGACACAAAACGATTCGTCAGCAATTTCTTCACATTTGGTTTTGAGAAAAGCAAGCAGCATGCAAGGAAACTTGTAGTCTTGGAAAATGGGATGGTAATTCAAGCTACTCTGTCGAACAGAATGGGAATTTTAGAATACTGCTCCAGGGAAATAACTCTATGCATTGCCTATCAGCAGTAGGTGAGAGCAGTATGAAGAAGAGGTGTTCTCACCATGTAATGGTCTTCTGACAGGAGAGGCAGAGAGAAGTGGACGTAATTACAGGTTAATCATTGTAAAAGCCACAAAAAATCTGTGGGTAGGAAGACCCTAACTGCCCAGGAAATGAGGAGTTATTCATACAGTTTAATAATTCGGTTTACACGTGTTCCATAATCTTCTATTTGAAATGAAAGTGTTTAAAGATCCGTTTAAAAAAGCTTAGATCATCTTCAAAGTCCTTAAAGCTGGAACAGAGCACCAGGTGTTCAGATGTTCTCAGGTTTCAACATGTATTAATACTGAGCAACCTCCTCCCAATGATAGGGGGATAACACAAACCTCAAAAGCTGAGTCGTAAGGAAACAAACCGTATATGTCCAACTGACATGGGCCATTGTTATCAAAACTATCAATCAAATAAAACATGAGCATGCATGTGTATACTCGTATAGTATACTCATTCATTGCACACAGACTGATATTCTGTATATCAAATGTTTATTATTTTTAATGTTGATAACTCACAACTAATGAAAATCCCAAATTCAGTACCTAAGAAAATTACAATGTTAATTAAGACTGTTAAGTTTAGCATCTTGCAGGGCAGGATACTGTCGGCCCGACTGTTCATGACAGAGGAACAAACAGCACACACCGCACTCTGGTTCAGCTCAGTAGAGGCACACGTGATACTAGCGTCACACACAGTGCTTCCTTTTATTGCCACATAATTGTTTATCATGACACACACACAGGTGTAAGAGCACACATAATCAGGACTGATTTGTAACACCCCCTCTTGCTCTGATACCGTTAACCTATACATGTCCACAAATACATTTTCAGTTCAGTTTTCCCCAAACAAATGCTTCTTATGTCTGTCCATTTTACATTTTGTCACAGGTTTTGTTAAGACATCTGCAACCATATCATTGGTTGGACAATACACGATGGTGATTTTCCCATCCTTCAACACAGATCTAATGAAATATCTGACGTTAATGTGTTTGCTTCTTTGACGAGCTATAGGACTTTTAGACAGAGCAATCGCACCTTGATTTCCACCAACTATTGTTAGTGGTACATAACACTCGTCATCTCGCTCTTGTAACAGTTGCAATACATATAAACTCTCTTGTGTAGTAGCAGTCAGAGCCATATATTCTGCCTCACATGTTGATAATGCCACAGTTTGTTGTTTCTTTGTTTTCCAGGAAACAGCAGAGCCAATCTTGTTCAGACTAAAACTATAACCTGTTGTGCTGTGTCTGTCCATCACATCCGCAGCCCAATCAGCATCACAATAGGCTATTAGCTGTAGCTTGTCTTCACTCTTGGTGTAACATAGACCTTGA